ATGAATAAATTGTCATTATTATTATGTTAATTTTATTACTTTTAATTATATTATTATTTATTACGTCATCCGGTTCGACCCCGGTTCAACCGGTCGAACCATGAACCTCTAATTCTTCCGGTTCGTTGTCCGGTCCGATTTTCACAACCTTGATATTTAATATAATATATAAATTTATAATATTAAAAAATTATATTATATTATTAATTCTTATAATATAGATTATAACAAATTTATAATATACATTAAAAAAATTTGCAGCCCAACCAACCCAAATTCATAGCCCAACTAGCCCAAATGTGCAGTCCAACTAAGTCCAATGCATATTCTAATTCATATAATATTTATGCAACTTTTTAATCCCACATCATATGAAGAGTTTGAGGTAGTTTTACCCTATATATAATGTAAAGTACACACTTTTTACAAACCACATTATGTGAGATAACATGCATATATTATGGTGTAATTAATCATCATATTTAATAAAAAAATTAAAAAAGTTAAAAAAATTAAAAAAGTTAAAAAAATTTAATAAACTAAAATATATTAATTAAATTTTGATTAAAAAAATATTTTTTTATAGAACCTACTTATTCTTTCCAACCAGAACCGGTTCATCGGTTGAACCGCCGGTTTTTGCCGATTTGATGTGAAGCCGGTTTTTAAGGTAGATTAGACCGGCCAACCCGACCGAGGGTTCATGGTTGAATTGGCAAGTCCAGTTCAATTTTTACAGCTATGCATAAATAATAGAGCATAACATATAGAAAGTTACTTTACAACATCTAGAAAGTTGTTTATTGAATAAAAATCTCTTTTAGATGGCAAGATATTTAACTAAAATAAATTTTGTTCCAAGATTGAGTTTGAAGGGCATACTTTATGTAGTATGATCTAGCATAATGAAATCAAAGATATAATAGAACATGATCAGGGCTTGATGGTATGGTAATATCAGGTGAGGTTAAGATTATTCTGGATCTAATCCTAACCTTTAAGACAAATAAGATGAGCATTATGAAAGTATAAGGAGGATATAGCTTAATCTGTAGTTGACGTTGCTTGGAAAAATATGAAAATAGAGTGGCTTTCTATTCCTTCTGACATGCATTAACCAAGAGAATATCCATGTAGGGAGTTTTCAGATTCATGCTCACATTGTTCTCTAATCAATACTTGGCGTAAAAAAAGATGATTTGTTAAAGCTAACTTCCTAGCAAATTCTAGTTTGGATAACATAAAGTTTGTAAGACGATAACATAATGGTAATTTAATACTTAGCATAATGGCAATTTAATCATGTTTATTTGATAACATAAAGTTTTAACATTGTTGTTGTCAGGTCTCAAGCCTTATCTGAGAACAATGGAGGGTTGTGTTAAATTGTCAATAATCAGCATAAAATTTGTCAAATGATCATGACATAAATCCTTTAAACTATGGAAGAGAGTTATTGAGCATAAGTTACGACGTGATACTAATGTTTCTCAAAATCAATTTGGATTCATACTAGGTAGATCTATTATGGAAGCTATACATTTATTGAGAGGTTTGATGGAGAAGTATAGAGAAAATGATGAAGTTTCAATAGATATTTATTGATTTAGAGAAATCATATGATAAAGTTTCAATAGAAGTGCTATGGAGAGTTCTAGAAAAGAAAGGAGTTAATAATGCTTATATTCAAGTCATTAAGGATATGTAGGTAGGAGTTGTTACTTGAGTTTAAACACAAGGTGGTTTAACCAAGTATTTTTCTATTTCAGTTGGATTACATCAAGGATCAACTTTAAGCCCATATTTTTTTGCTTTAGTTTTGGATGTTCTTACTAGACATTTGCAAGAGTATGTATACTGGAGTATGATTTTTGCCGATGATATTCTTCTAGTTGATAAGATTTGAGAGAGAGTTGAAGGAAACCTTGAATTATAGAGATCAACCTTAGAGTCTAATGATTTTTATTTGAGTAGATCTAAAACCGAATACATGGAGTGTAATTTTAGTAGTAATAGATTTAGTAGGGGATTGTGGTTATCATGTCATTACTAGGAGTACACACTTTATATATCAAAAATATATTGTTTAAAGTAATGATGAAATAGATTGGGATATTATTAGTAGAATTTAAGTTGGATGGTTGAAGTGGAGGAATGCATCGAGCCTGTTGTGTAACAAAAAAAAAAGTATCCCTCAAACCTAAGGGAAAATTCTATAAAATTGTGGTGAGACCTGCAATGCTTTATGGCACAGAATGTTGGCCATTAAAGGAGAAGCATAAAAATTGGTTTATTGTTGCAGAGATGAGGATGCTCAGATGGATGAGTGGCTACACTCTTAGAGATAAAATGCGAAATGAGTATATACGTCAAAAGGTTGGAGTAGCTTCAATGGTAAATAAGATTAGAGAGAGTCGCCTTAGATGGTTTGGTCACATAAAACGTCGGCTTTCCAATGATCTGGTTAGGAGAGTAGATGTTTTAGATTTGTCCTATGTTAAGAAAGGTAGAGGTAGGCCTAAAAAGAATTTAATTAAAAATATTAGAAATTGCATTCTTTTATTAGATTTAAATGAAATTTTGATTGTTAACAGGACACAAAAGAGAAAAAGGATTCATGTGGCCGACCCCACATAGTGGGATAAAGTCTTGTTGTTGTTGTTGTTATTTGATAACATATTTTTCATGAAAATTAATTTAAGATGTTTGAATATTTGAGACAAAAAAATAGATACTACATTCTGTAGTGCATGCATTTATAGTGCATGTTTTGCATGGTCGAAGTATGCCGTAAACATAGGCCACAATCTTTGGCCAGGTCCTGAGCATCAGGTTTGTTCTGTGTAATATGAATGCAATAGTTCATGACCTTCACAGAAATGTGCGTTTAGCTCTAAATACTTTCAATATCCATCTACTGTTTTGCGATAGTTTAAGTAACATAACATATTTTGGATGACAATTACTAATAAAATATGAAATATGTCATCATTACAAAAATTAGGAAGAGGAATTGATTGCTTCTTACCTTCATAAGATCTGAAGCATTGCATTCAACAGCAGTGCTTGTGTTTCTGCTCAATGACATGTCATGTCTAAACTTGCGCTTAGGCAAAACTGAACCTTTCCCAGATTCTTTAATAGAAGCCAAAGCCTGAAAAGGTTGCAATGAAAATTTCTTAGACGAACAAAATGTACTTGATATGATGCTTGGGTGCTTCTTTGAAACATTCTTTGGGTGGGCAGGAGAAGCCACTTCTGAACTTTGCCTAGATGATGGTGCACTGACACATTGGTCAAATATACTTCTATACAAAAAAAGAACATGCTGTTCCCGATTGGCTATCTCTTCTTCAAGCAACTCAATCTCCGCAATAAGATCCCTTGTCTGAAGAAAACCATGACCGTAGAAGAAAGTAAATGCCCTTAATCTAAACATTCTTAAAGGAACGAAAATCAGCTAAGAAAAATAACATTATCAACATACAATGAACATATGGAAGAGAATAAATAATTTCAACACCATCAAGAGCTTTCAAAACCCATCATCAAATTTTTAACAAAACAATCTTTTTTGGTTTATCTATTTTCAGAGCAGCCTTGTAAAAATTAAAGAAAACTTAACACTAGCTGTTTCATATTTATGATAACTATCGAAAGCTATGTTTTTGAAGATAATCATCAAGCTCGACATATTTCATTCTGCAAATAAAAAAGTCAAATTAAGGACAACTTAAAGTATTTCCAAGAATCATCAAAGGGACAAAGAAAGTTTCAATGAAAGTATGCTTTGAATTTCTAGCTCTATAGAAGCACAAACGTACACGAGCCTAAAATTAGAGATATTGACCTAAGCAAAACGCACATTCAACTTACCGAAAATCACAAAGATTAGCTTACAGCATACACGTATTCCAGTATTGCTACAACCACAGTTCATGCTATGTTGCAATAACTATAGAGAGCAAGGAAAACAATGCATCACATTCTATGCATTACGTTATTAATTTTTGTTGACCCATATACCAAGAAACACATAAAAAGAGGCGAAATCGGTGACTCGAGCAACGATCGATGGGGGCAACACATCACTTAAGTGGTCAAACAACCTCCGATCACCAAAAAGATAGCGACATTGTGATCAGAGAGTCGAATTTACTTAAGAGGGTGTCCCTCTTAGTCAAATCAGGTAAAAACTATCAAAATCGGCGACTGACGTCTGAAAATATTGCGTAACATTACCTAAACGATGTTCGATAGCAGAATAGACTTTGTCGTCGTGTTCAGAACGTCCAAATTACCTAAAAATGACTGTAAATTTGCCCAACAAGCCTTGTATGGGAAAATCAGCATGGATATCAAGGCGACGATGGCACGGGTTATGGGATGCCGACACACAAATCGATGCACAAAAATTGAGGAATTTTACACATGCTCAAATCCCTGAAATCCTGCTCAAATAACTGTTGTCCGGCACCGCTCACGTCCCTTCATTCAATTGCTGTGACTCGTCTCGATCGATCTTTGCTCTTGTCAATAAAATGGGAATAAGTGGAGCTTTCTATTCTTCTTTCACTTCACGACCGCCTCCAAGTATCCCGCAGCCGACCGGTCTCCATATACCGAAGCCGAACACAACTGCCCCAGTTCTGATCCCTTCCTTCCACGCTCAATCGGTCTAATCTGTGAATCTTCAGCAGCAAGCAGTACCTGCAACACAGAGAAAGAGGCGAGCAAAAGGAAAAGCAGAGAAGGAAAACTGTGGAAGAGCTTTTACTCTAGTCATATTTTCTATGTATGACCGGGTACAGTGTGAGTATATAAAGAAGAAGAGCTGAGCTGGCAGCCGTTAGTAAGTGGGCTACAGGAGGTCATCAGGGTGATGGTGGAGACCGAATAGACGGTTAATGTCAGAGAGAGTACTCATGAATACATGTGCTTAACATTCCCCCGCAAACTGAGGATCCTGAGGCATGATCGTTAGTTTGGTTCGCAAGAGTTGAAAATGAGGGACTGATAGAGGTTTAGTTAGAATGTCCGCCGGCTGTTGGTCGGAGTCAATGTGATGAACAGCTATCTCCTTGGTCTGAATGTGATGACTAATGAAATGATAGTCAATTTCTATGTGCTTGGTGCGAGCATGAAAGACCGGATTTTTGGCAATTGCGAGAGCCGATAGGTTGTCGCAGTATATGTTAGAGGGCTGGGTTTGCTTAACTTGAAAGTCAGCAAGCAACTGCCTAAGCCAGAGAGTATCAAATGTAGCGGCAGCGAGCGCCCGGTACTCAGCCTCCGTGGATGATTTGGCCACAGTTACTTGCTTTTTGACACACTAGGAAACCAGAGTTGCGCCAAGGAACGAGCAAAATCCGGTAATGGATTTACGGTCGGTATGGTCAGAGGCCCAGTCGGCATCAACGTATGTGTTTAGGACTGGTTCTGAAGAAAGAATTGGGAGACCGAAGTGTAGTGTTCCTTTCACATAATAAAGTAGGCGTTTTAGAGCTTGAAGGTGAGCGACGAAGGGGTCGTGCATATGTTGACAGATCCTGTTGGTAGCGAAGGCGATGTCGGGGCGAGTAATGGTTAGATACTGAAGTGATCCTACTAGCTGCCGGTATAGTGTAGAGTTCTCCATATGAGGATCGGTAGACGATACCCGCGAATCCTTTAACGAAATGGGGGTGAAAGCGGGTTTGCAGTTTGAGAAACCGCTTGCTCGGAGGATGTCGCTGGCGTACTGAGACTGATCAAGGAAGTATCCTTGAGGAGTTTTGGTAATTCTGATGCCGAGGAACAGAGAAACCGGACCCAGATCTTTAATGGAGAATGCCGAGCGTAAGGATTGAACTAAACTCTGGATAGAGGCGGGATTGGAGCCAGTGATGAGCATGTCATCCACATATATGAGGATGTACATAGAGATGTCTCCCTGCTTGTAAACCAGAAGGGCAGTGGATCCGACTTGCTAAACGCAAAGTCGGCGCTCTGGAGATGCACCGTTAACTTTGTGTACCACTGTTTTGGTGATTGTTTCAGGCCGTATATAGCTTTGTGTAAGCGACAGACATGCTTGGGGTAGCGTTGATCAACAAACACGATGGGCTGCTTCATATAAACGGCTTCTTCAAGTTCACTGTGGAGAAAGGCGTTATACACGTCCAATTGAGTGATCGGCCATTGGCGCTGTAGTGCGATGGTAAGGAGGATCCGTATAGTGGGTAGCTTGGCTGCTGGGCTAAAGGTTTCTCTGTAGTCTATGCCATATTGCTGGTCGAACCCCTTTGCTACGAGTCATGCTTTATGTCGCTCAATTTGACCGTGGGCAGTTAGTTTAAGTTTGTAAGTCCAGCGGCAGCCGAGTACGGGGTGGTTGGATGGGGGAGGAACAAGTGTCCACATGTGTTGTTGGTGAAGAGCACGGATCTCGTCGTTCATGGCAGCACGCCACGATGGGTGTTTATTGGCTTCGTTGAAGGAAGCAGGGGTGACGGTGTCTGTAGTGGTGGCTAGAAGATCAAAATGAATTTTGGGCTTGATTATTCCAGATTTGGAGCGATTTTGCATTGTATGTACAGGAGGTGTAGGCAGGACAGGAGGGATTGAAGCTTGGACAGGTACGGTAGGGAGTGGTTGGTCGGATGTTGGAGCTGTGGTGTTTGGTTGTGGGATAAGTTGAGCATAGGATGGAGGTAGTGAGACAGGGGTGGGAAGAGTGGAAACAGGTATTAATGTGAGGGGCGTGAGATTGGTTGGACGAGGTGGGGCTGTGGGTGGTATTAGTTGATGTTGTTGATATGGAAAGTAGTTCTCGTGAAAGATCACATGGCGAGAAATATGGATTTGTTTGGTAGAGAGATCAAAGCACCTGTAACCTTAGTAACTCGGGGAATAACCAATGAATATGCATTGACGAGAGCGGGGAGCGAGTTTGTTAGGAGCTTGATGGCGCAGCCATGGAAAGCACAGACAACCAAAACTTCGCAGATGATCATATACGGGTTTAGTGTGATAGAGCAGCTGAAAAGGAATTTGAAGTTTAATTGCTTGTGAAGGCAGCCGATTGATCAAGTAATTGGCTGTGAGGAGAGTGTCTGCCCAGAATTGATTTGGAAGATTGGCTGTAAGAAGAAGTGCTCGAGTAATGTCAAGCAAATGCCTGTGTTTACGTTCGGCTAACCCATTCTGTTCGGGGGTATGAGGACAGCTAAGTTGATGCATAATGCCATTGTGATTAAGGAAGGAACAAAGGTTGTGGCTGGAGTATTCCCCGCCGCCATCGGAGCGTAGTATTTTAAATGTTTTTGTAAATTGAGTTTGGAGCATTTTAGTAAACAGTTGAAGTTTAGAGTAGACTTCGTCTTTGGTATGCATTAGGTACAACCAAAAAAATCGAGTATGATCATCAATGAACACAATATAGTATTTATAACCGTTGTGGGCTGAAGTAGGAGCCGGCCCCCAAACATCTGTGTGGATGATGTAAAGGGGTTCGGTTACATGATTAGAAGCTTTGAAAGGTAATCTATGGCTCTTGGCCATGTTACAAAATTTGCAAATAGCTGTAGTAGATGAATTACATATGCTAGGATCTAAAGTTGCTAAGGTTTGTTGTATCAGTTGATGAGGATGACTGAGCCGAACATGCTAGAGAGGAGCTGAGCTGGAATCGGACCGGAGTGCATGGTGAGAGGAGGTGGAAGTGGCAGCGAGAGGGTAGAGCCCATTGCGACTTCTACCATGGAGAAGGACTTGATTGTCCTGCAGATCCTTGATTTGGAAGCCGGAGGAGTCGAACGAAATGGAACAGTGATTGTCAGTAGTTAGTCGATGAATGGAGAGTAGATTATGAGAGGTGGAAGGAACGTGAAGAAGGTTTCGAAGAATTAACTTACGGTTGGAGGGTTGGGGCAGGATACCGTCTCCTGAGTTTTGAATGGGAAGTGTGCTGCCATTGGCGATGGAGATGGAGTCCGTGCCTTGATAGGGAAGGCATTATTAAAGCTGGCTGGCCTCGGACGTTAGATGAGAGGAAGCACCTGAATCAAGCATCCATTCAGTCGAGGGGTTGGCCGCTGATTGAGTGAGCATTGCACGCGGAGGAGGTGCAGTGTAATTGAGATTACATCTGTGCCAGCAGGCCGTAGCAATGTGCCCAGGTTTGTTGCAGATCTGACAGATGGGTCGGCCGTTGCTTGCTGGAGTGCGAGTTGGATTACTAGGAGTAACAGCCGGTGCATTGTAGTTCTGATTGTATCCGCGACCTCTGGTTGATCGAGCCGTTTGAGAGGAGTTGCCTCTTCCACGGTTGGTGCGGTAATTAGCATAGAAGGCGCCATTATCCTTAGAGATGGATGTATCCTGCAGGATCTCTGTTTGTATATTAATTTATTCGCTTGCTAGCAGCGAATATAGAACTTCTAAGCTGATGGGGTTTTGACAAGTTCGGATCGACGTCTTGAATGAGTTGTAAACTGCGGGAAGACCGTTCAGAATATAGTGGAGAATATCTTCGGTCTCAACCTTTAATCCAGCCGCTGCAATGTTGTCCACGATTCCCTTGACCTGGGCAAGGTACTGTTGCATAGAACTGTCTCCGATTGCAACATTATGAAGCTCATTCTTGAGTTGTATCACTCTAGAGCGATTTGTGGGTTGAAGACGACCCTCTAAGGTTTTCCAGATTTCATTGGCTGTAGCTAGATTCAGTATATAGGGTAGTATTGCAGGGGAGATCGTGGAGTATAACGTCGATACCAGATTCTGATCGACTAGTTTCCATAGACGAAAATCTGAAGAGGATTCGTCAGTGGGAGGAACTTGAAGTCCGGTGAGGTAGCCCTCGAAGCCGTTAGCGGAGAATAGCTTGAGGGTTTGCAAACTCCAAATCGCGTAGTTCTCACTATTTAGTTGAATGGTGACTATCTGCTTGATGTTGGAGACCAGGAACTTCAGGGGGGAGGGGACGGTGAACTCTGCCATGGAAGCAGACAGGGAAGAAGTTGTCGTCTGAGCTATTGAGCTTTGATTCTCGGACATCTTCTGATTGTGTTTGTTGTGAAGCTAAAGCTCTGATACCATGTGAATCTTCAGCAGCAAGCGGTACCTGCAACACAGAGAAAGAGGCGAGCAAAAGGAAAAGCAGAGAAGGAAAACTGTGGAAGAGCTTTTACTCTAGTCATATTTTCTATGTATGAATCGGGTACAGTGTGAGTATATAAAGAAGAAGAGCTGAGCTGGCAGCCGTTAGTAAGTGTGCTGCAGGAGGTCAGCAGGGTGATAGTGGAGACCGAATAAACGGTTAATGTCAGAGAGAGTACTCATGAATACATGTGCTTAACATGATCTCCTCCCTCACAGTCGGTCTTGACTCCAGCAAGCCTGATCCCACTCCAATCTCTCGCTCCCGTCACTGCCTTGTTCTACCAAACCCCACCGACCCAGTCCATCCCGATCTACAGCCAAACCCCTCTGTCGTGCTGACTCCACTCCACCTCCGGTAGCTGAACTACCCCACAACCAGATCCCGTCTACAGCCAGAACCACGACTTCTTCTCCCTATTTTATCCACACCCTAGATCCAAGCCCGTCGATCCCAATCCGTCGAGTTGCCCGGCCTCAGTTCTCACGCACGACTTCAGACCAGCCCACATGGATTTCTGACAACTTCAATTTCCATCTTTAGCTAGTCATGAGTATGCTATAGTAACAGCAAATCAATATGGACAAAATTTTAAATAATCTAAAATGATCGTTTAATATCTCATTGAAAATTCACTAAGCATGGTTTAAATTTATTTGAATTACCTGTTTCTTTTATTTTGTTCTGTATAATCTCCGCATTTTAAAAGTGTAGGGTGATGTATCAAATTTTGATTACTAATCATTGTTTTTCATTTGTACATAATAAAACTGCAGAACAACCCTTTACCGTCCAATTGAGGCTAAGAGCTAGCATCCAGCTAGTTGATATTGTTATCAACACCGAAAGTGCTGGAGCCACCATCCATTTCAGTGGACTGAAATTCTCTGCAGCTACTGCAAAGGCTGTCGTCATTCCTACAAATTCTAACTGCTGCTAATAAGAGGATTTCCGTCTTTGAAAGACTATCTCAGTTAAAAACCCCAGCTACAAAGAGGGTTGTAGTCAATGGAAAATTTTATGTGATGACTATTAACACCACTGCTTTATCAAGCAAGCCTGCTACACTTGGAAGGCATAACGCTGAAGCTTCTTCATATGGAGGAAAGTTGATAGAGAGGCAAAAAAGGAAGAAGAATGCAGAGCTACAAGCTCAATAACCATTGCTAGTCCATCCTTCCACACTGCCCGCCCAAGGGCCAGAAGTGAGTGTTCCTATATGAAACAAATTTTCAGATTTGAAATGGATGAATAGGAACAACTCTACCGGTGAGCTGAAGCTGTCCTTCTAGGAGCTATGATCTCGGTAACTACTGATGGTCCATCCTTCCACGCTGCCCTCACCCAAGAACTAGAAGTGAGTGTTCCTATCTGAAACAAATTTTTAAATTTGAAATGGATGAAGATGAACAACTCTACCAGTGAGCTGAAGCAATCCTTCTGGGAGCAACAACATCATCAAGCTTCAATTCTCCAATGGAGAGAACATGAAACGCTGTCCTTCAAAGTATACAGAATACTAAAGGTGGTGAAGAAGAAGAGACCAGTGAAGAGGAAATTTCAAAAATCACCTGTGATAGGGGAAAAAGAAAGGAAAGTTGTCATATGTTGTAGTAATGAAAAAGAAAGAGCGAAAACAAGCCCCACATGGTTGAGCATCGGGGTGTGACACCTGAATCGCATGTTCAGGAATCCACCGCTAAGAGGTCTCGATGAAAAGGGAAGGAAGTATGGATACCGAGGCTTCCCGAAGAGAGAATAGCAGAAAGAAGAATACACTCAGGCATGATATATGGTGCAGCCTCCCAGAGATCCGCCCCCACCAATAAAAACCGTCAGAAGTGGGTACCAAAGAAGGTCTACGATGACAGATGATCCAATGGTCGACACCTTAGAAAATCCTCCAGGGGATCCCATCACTCGCTGATCCCCTCCGAAGAAAAAGTTTACTTCAACCGCAGTTCGCAGATTGAAGAATTTAAGTGACATGCCGCGCCCGCTGATCGACGCTCGAGTCCCCGATTTCACCTCGTTTCTTGGTATATGGGTCAACAATTTTTCACAAATGTATTACAGTAGGCAGGTTGACAGCAAAGCAACAAATAAAGTGGAAGTTAAACCACAAAGTGTTCCATATGAACGGTTAAAAGAATCATGTGCTCAAAAAGGTAGGTCTAAGCAGTTACTATAATGTTTCATCATATTGTGTAGACACAAAGCAATGCAGATTGAAGCTCTAGAAAACCATCGGAGAAAGCATAATCATTTCAAAGACATGATCAAGGACTTTGCTCAAATCATGGCCAGACTTATCATACAATGTAGATAAGCCAAATTTATTCAATCATGACAAATTGGAAGAACAAAATGGAAGTTTTTACTGGATTGAGAAATGCAATGTCACAAAGTTGATAGTGAACACAGCTAGGTAGCAGAGGAAATGCAGCACTAGCAAAACCTGGGCAGATATATGAAAAAGAAAAGAACTGCTAAAAAAAAAGGAAAGGAGATAAAATATAGCTTCTTCTAGATCAGCTATCAGATGTCATACATAGGATGTTGGACGGCTGATAGGACATGTAGCTAATAGACCGGATAGCCTGGATAGTTGTGCAGAGATGGACCAGTTTGCTTCTCTTTTAAACGGTAAAGTATTGTTTAATATTAATATTGACAACTGCAGCAAAATTGATTTTTCGGTATCTCTAAATATTTGGTGAATTCAGTTTTGATTTACCAAAGATAATAGTCGGCTCAGATTACAAGTGCAGCATATTATGATTAAGTTGAGTAAAGTATCATCGTAATTTTACACTATTCTTTGTTAAATTTAAGGTTGTAACTCTTTATATACAAAATACAAGCTTCAAAAATGGCTGTCCCAAAAAGGAATATCCAATTGATCAAACCTGGGTAGTAAAATGTCTGTGACCAGGAGATAAAGTACTAGATGCTCGACCAATTGCTCTCTCAAGCATCAAACGCATACTCTTCTCTTGACGCAAATGCATCTGAAGTTTCTTAATCTGCAAAAGCAATTTAATCAGATGTTCAAATTGCCTACCTAATCGCATCAGCAGTAAAAATAGGGCAGTAGTAACTTTCGAATAAAGATTGACAACTATTTAACCCTAACCCTAACCCTAAAAGACCAAATTCAGATCTAATTCAAAAATTAATTTTGTTCAAACAAAAACCTAGTCAACCTGTTCAACTTAAATGATTCAGCCTAAAATCATGTTTAAAGTCAGAATGCTATGATCATAGGTCTTAATATTCATGTCATCTCAAAATGTAGTGCAGCTTTAACTAGACGTTGAAAATGGAAGCACTGAAAGTAATTACTCTAAAAATTTATGAGCTTCCATACAATTTCAGAACAGGATCTCCACAATTCGTCAGCAAGAAATCACACAAAAATGGCCAGTGTGAAAATCTTCTATAAAGTGAAAGTTGACTTTGACATGGTATTTAACCTATAGATGGTTTTTATTGGAGTTAACTAAGATCAAATTCAAACCATCTACCATAAACAAAATTTAATTCAAATCGAACTACATGCATATGCTTGGAATTCACCACAATATGAGAAGTAAGAATTTGAGCAATCATTATCACTGCGGTCACCTTTTTTAGCACTCCAAAGTTTATATAAAGTTACAATTCGGTTCATATACCAAACTCACATATGATGACCGCACAATTATAATGTTATTTAACTTTTTTGTTACCTAAATTCTAGTTTTTAAAAATAGATAATAACCAAATTTAGATTCAGAGTTTCCTTATTGTTGGCATATTTAGCAGGTGTTAAATAGACTCCTATTAAGGGAAGGAGATTATGCTAGAAGATATTCCCATAATTAAGGATATAATGCTGATGGTTTATTTCTTTATAATACTCTCGAGTGTGCCGATTTGTAGGCTCTCTTACTAGTCAATAAAACATAATAATTTATTTCCTTTCCAATACCTCTCGATATATAATCAAAGTAAGAAAATGCTAACCACTATTGTTATCCTGCATGACCTATTTGTTTGCCTCTCCTTCCGCTCCTGTCACCCAATCCCCAACTTAGCTTACGCTCAACCTTAACATCGTTGACACTCAAACTCATGATCACTCAAATGTACTTCACTTAAATCCACCCCCAACATAGATCGCTAGAGTTCCTTCCCTTCCCTAAACACTTGCTACTACTATCCCATCGAAGCACACTACTTATTGCATGCCACTATCATGGCTAACCACAACACTCACTAAACTAGCCTTTGTCTATACTATTATATCATTTTAAACATTATCTTTACTCATTACTTTGCCACTCCTCCGTTCTTCTCCTCTACTCTTCACAATTTCGATATTAATAAGTTGACCTCCTCTTACACTTTGCCTCCAACTTAGATGGTATCATGGCCTCTTTGACTCCTATACATGTAGTGAAACCTTCCTCCATTATCAATACCTCTATTAAATTTAATATCATCAATTATCTCTTATTGTCACAAGTAGGTGTAAGTTCCTCAAACCCGATTTACTAACAAGCTTACGAGTTGAGCTTATCAAATCACGAATGTGAGCTCGAGCCTAGCTCATATAATATACAAACTCAAGCTTAGCTCGGGTTGGGAGTCAACTCGATTGAAAAAAAAAAAAATCCAATCTCTTCAGCGGTCCAATCATTTGATTCAAGGTTTGATGTCTCACTTCTTCTTCAAACATCATTGGTCCCATCACTACCTTCTCTAGTGAGCTCCTTTGCATCCTCTTCAAATGTCGTTAGTCCCATCACTGCATTATCGTCTAGTGAGCTTCCTTCACATCTTCTTCAAACATTTTTGATCTTTTGCTGCCTTCTCCAGCAAGCTCCAATCGCAAGTTCCTGGAATGTTGATAGTTTCATCACTTCCTTTTGCAACAAACTTCATTAATGAGTTTTGGAATGCCTTTGGTCCTGTCACAACCTTCTCGAACAAGCTCCAATCGATTCCATCTCTAACAATCTCTCATCTAAAGGGTTTTGAATTTTTGGCTAGGCTAGCTCGAACCTTCTCTTATTCTAGCAAGACGAACTTGACTCAAGTTTGAATTTGGCCTGCCATTGGGTGAGCGAGCCAAGCTCAAGTTACCCCTAGTTCAAGCTTTACTCAACTTGTTTACACCACTAATCATGGGCCATTAGATTTACTGTTGGCTTCCATGACAATCTCATTAATGGAGTGGGCAAAATGGTGAACCGAAGTTTGGAGACCTATTTGAGGTGTTTTGCTTTTGAAACACTACGGATGTGGGCAAAATGGTTGCCATGGGCCTAGTCTTGGTACGACACTTCATACCATTCTACTTCTTAGATGACTCCTTTTAAGGTGTTGTACGAAAGAGAACCCCCCACACTTAGTGCATTTTGGGAGAAGAAGCACATCAGTCTTTTTAGTTGAGCAATACTTGGAGGAGAGGGACAAGGTGTTTGAGGAGTTAAAGAAATATCTGTTGAGGGCACAACAAATAATAAAATGGTAGGTAGATACACATAGGAGAGACATCCAATATGAGGTGGGGGAGAAAGTGTTCTTGAAACTAAGGCCATATAGGAAGAAATAAGTTGCTAATAGAAGGAACGAGAAATTGACCCCGAGGTATTTTGGCCCCTACGAGATTGTGGACAAGATCGGAGCAGTGGCATGTTAATTAAAGTTACCCCCATCTGCCACCATACACCCAGTCTTTCATGTGTCGCAGTTGAGAAGAGCTCTAAGGGAGCATGCAGTGAGTGCGGTGTAGCCAACTACACTGACAAAGGAGTTGGAAGTGGTCTTAGAACCACTAGAGTTAAGAGGGGCCAGATCGGACAAAAGGGAAAACAAGGAAATGCTTATCAGATGGAGGGACCTTCCCAATTTCTAGGCCACTTAAGAGCCATATGAGAGAATGAAGCTACAGTTTCCTTCCTTTCACCTTAAGGATAAGGTGAGTCTTTGAGAGGAGAGTAATGTTAGGCCAGCCCAAGAGGGGCTGGCTGCCCCTATTGAACTGGTCCCTAGTGGACCAATTTTCTATTATAGCCGTCAGCCCAAGGAAGGTAAAGAGAGAGGGTCGGCTGCTCCTATGGGGCCCACACCTTGATTAAAGATAGTTTGGAGAAAAATATTTGAATTAGGGGCTGTTTAGGGATTTTGTATTACTCCTTTGGCTTTAATTAGTTGCTAATGTTAGAATTAGTGTTTCATCTTGAGTTTGAAATCAAATTTGAGATCGTGGGGTTGTTCCTTTGGGCTCTAGGTTTGGCTAGAGATTTGGAGAGTTGTTTCTTCCTCTCGAATTGAAGAAACTTGTATCGTTTGTTTGTTTTCCTGCATTGGCTAGTGGAGTCCTTCATTTTTCTCTCAATTTTCTCCATATTTCTCGAAAGGGTTGTTGTATCGTGGCTGTTTTCTGCTGCAATCAACAGTTTTCCTGCTGTTTGTCACCAATCACTGCTAATTTTGCTTGCGAACTCAAGTATTTCCTATCACACTCATGAAACAATATTGTTGGAAAAGAAAACCAAAGTTGGCCAAACCAATCTCATGAATATAATCCCACCAAACTAATAAGTGAAATGATGTAGAACATACATGCAAGAATGATTTAGATTAAGAAAATTTGCACGCTTAATATTTCGAGAACAATATTAAATAAAACTTATGCTGATTTAAACGCTAAGATAAAATAATAAGACGATTAAACAAGTTTAGGCTAAATCACATGCATAGGAGTTAAGGTCGTAAAACAATCAATTAATCTAACATTGCGTGCGTGGTTGGTTTTCAACGATAATCCATAAACTAACAATAAGATTAGTCACTAAGAGATGTCCCTCACTTAACTCTCTAATATACTAGACTTTAGCGGATAGAATTAACACTGTCCTAGTGAATCAAATTAAAACCATAATCAAGGATGCAACTATTAAAATAGAGAGTCGGTGCCGAGTTTACCCAAAGACAAGAGAGATAAGCACTCCGGCAAGGTCGTTTGAATGCTGGGAAAGAAGTGGGCAGCAGTCAAGAGCCTTCTCGCACCAAGGAATGGCTGGATCCTGGGAAGAGGTGCAGAACTTCAAGACAGCAGCAATTTTGACCTTGTACATGCCCTGGATAGCACCCCGTAATGCTTAGAAACGTCTTGGCATGCCCCTTGGGCTGCTGGGAGCTATGGACAACAAATCGTGACCTTCCTTGTTGCTGGACAGCAAGACACACTTGATGGATTCGGAGAGAAGCAAATAGGAATTTAGGGAATGATTTAATTGGGAGAGAGATTTGAAGTTGACATTCAAAATAATCCCAAATATGGTAGGGGCGGCTGTTAAGGGCATTAGTGGGGGAATTTAATTAGGAGTTAGTGACTAGATTGGAGGGAGAATAGGGAGAGAGAGAGGGCCGGCCATAGGAAGAGGGAGGAGTTATGTCTAGGTGCAATATATGTGAACCATATGCATTAATTGGAGTGGGAAGGTTTTCTAATTAGAGATTATCAAAGAGGAAATATTTGAAATTTTAATATAGAATTGATTTCAAATAAAGACACATTCCAAATTGACATGAGTTATTTTAGGAAAGTAATTAAGAGAATTTTGAATTTTGAATTTCAAAATTCATGGGGGATTTGGAGGGAAGTGGAGTTTGGGATGAGATCAATCATTCCAACCCAATTTAAAATTAAATTGGGATTAGATTCAAGACTTGCCTAATATGACTTTGTAATTTAGAAAACTATTTGAAATTCAAATTTTGAATTTCAAATTGTTGAGATTAATGTCCCAAATCACTTAGGCTATTTTAGGCAAGTATTAATGATGAGTTAATTCATCATTCAAGGAGAGGGAAAGCATTTGGCCGGTGGTGGAGCTTGGGGGAGTTTGGTATGGATTTGGGGGGTGGAGTTAAGATGGGGAAGTGGGTCGGGTGGAGGAGAAGAAATGGATAATGGAGGCCGGCGGGTCTTGAGGTGGTTGTCGAGTAGGGGAAAATGAGGGGTGGTGGAAACGGGGGCAAGTCAGCGAGGGGGGGGTGAGGGAGGGAAGTGGGGAGAGGTCGGAGGAGATGCGAGGAACAAAAAGTAGAGCCGCGAACCTTGGACCCTTCCAAAGGTTGACGGTTATTGCGATTGCCCACACCTTGGGTCTTCCTTCTTCTCTCAAACACTCAACATTGAGGGAGACAAAGAAAACTCATAATTTTATTAATCAATCATCATCCCAAAATACAAGAGAACTAGCCTATAAATAGGCTTCATGAAAAAAAAAATGACTAAAATACTCTTTGGGCTACAACACCACATGACCACCCCTAGGGGTAAAATGGAAAAAACAGAAATATAAAATAAACTAATACATAAAACACATAAAAAAAAACTCCAGATCGTAGCCACTGATCTCTGATGCCTCACCATGAAAAGCTAATAAAGTAATGTCTAAAACAATCAGCAAATATATGTTGAGTGCTTAAAAATGCCTTACATCATTTTCCAAGGAAGCTCGATGATCCGTTGAATAATCATTATTAATGTTACTTGAATTTTGATGTTGATCTTCTAACCCATTTGGTTTTCCTGAACTATGTAGGTTCTGCCAATTTTCAAAACAAATTAATAACCTGTCATACACATTCAATGTCATTTTGAAATACACAGCTTCCAGACGATGCACAAATAAAATTATTTAAAAATAGCTTTTCATATGTTGACAACAAAGTTTGGTTTTACCTGAGAAGTGAAATAGCCTTTTCCCAAGCAATATGAAGTTTCTAGGTTCTTATCAGAAGTACTGCAAGAAAAATAATAACACTAAAATGCTAAATCTAGTATTGTTATTAAGCTAATCCACTTGCAATCCAACGAACCAAAAAAGTACAGTACAATTGTTAATTTAGGCATTTGGATCTTTTTAGGAAAAAGCAAGTTTGCGACACCCAACTTGTAGAAAAATCGGCATTGCTTTAAATCTCAAGAGAAAAGATGAAGTAAACCTGCAGATATAGTGTAAGGGTACTCTTATTAAGGGTGACAACCTAAAAATAAATGCTTTAAATTACCTACAAATGGATGGATCAGAACTAGCAAAAAACAGTAAATTCCTCCTCTTTACCTCTCATGATAATAACAACAGCCTCCACTTCAACTCTCAAGATCATTGGAAGAAGAAAGGTTTGGCTGCTTCGGTAATAGGGAAACAAGTCCAAGGGGGGGTGCAGGAGAGAGTATACTGAAGAGTGGAAGACATGTTTCCATTGTCTTATTCTTCTAACCACATCTGCTCAACTACTTCGTTTACCAAGTTTGACACTTTTTCTCTTTCAAAAAACTGTGCTACAAAAATAGTTGCTACTATGAATTAAAAATTCACTGATACTAATGTTCTAAACACATGCCATAAGGTTTTTGTATCTCAATTTAATTTAAGATGACGATAACCAATCTTTAATTTTAAAGAATGCTTTTGTGAAATGGAAACAAGCATCCTTCCAAGCAGTGGTGAAGCCAAAAATTGTTTTAGGGGGGACCAAATTTAACCTTTCTTGAGCTGTTTTTTATATTCAGATTCAATTAATCACTTTAATATTTATATGTATTATAAAAAATCAATATATTCTATAAAGACATGCTTGCAAATTGAAGAAGGAAATTTTTTTTTTTTTTTGGGAAATCGCTCATGGGAAGTGCCTGATGTGGACTTTTTTAAATTTCAGAGGGGAAAGGGGGGGGGGAGTGCCCACCTAGTCCCCACTTTAACCATGCTTGAGCTGATTTTTATATTCAGATTCAATTAATCACTTTAATATTTATATGTATTATGAAAAATCAATATATTCTATGAAGATATGCTTGCAAATTGAAGAAGGAAATAACTTCTTTTTTTTGGGAAATCGCTCATGAGAAGTGCCTGATGCGGACCTTTCTAATTTCGAACTTTACGGGGGGGGGGGGGGGTTGGCCAGTGCCCCTCTCTCTGCCCTGCTTCCAAGTACATCTATTTATCACTTCAGGTATTTCAAGTGGCGTCTATTTATTACTTCAAGCATATTTATTTTTAGTAAAATTCCAGAATAACAAATTTCTTATATTTGTCATCTTGTTGCTCAAGCTCGTCATCATCATTAGCCTTATCCCAATTATTGGGTATCTTATCAATCCTTTTTTTACCTTCTTTACTGAGTGCTACAAAAAATTGAACTTTTTCTATGCAAATCTTTTTTAACAGTTCTATCCATGTTACCTTAGGTTATTTATTTTTCCTTTCCAATCCTTTAACTCTAATTTTATATGCTTGATGCTGATCTTTCTAATTTCGATTTTTTTTTTTTTTTTTTTTTTGGGGGGGGGGGGGGGGGGGGCCACGTGCCCCTCTCTCTGCCCCTGCTTCCAAGTACATCTATTTGTTAGTAATAAATAACTCTAGAAGTTTCTATTTGTAATTATATTAGGTTCTTGATATCGTGCTTACGTGTACAACTTTATTTTCTATATAAGGACTGTAGTTTGTACTCAGGAGACAGTAAAATACAATTCTTATTTTCTTTATTTCGCTTTGCTCTATTCTCGACCTGTTACCTTACGGTCCATCAGGTTATCATGGTATCAGACTGATTCTTTTTTCCCATCCTCTCGGTTTCTTCTCCAAATTTTCTCGTTTGCTTGTCTCTGTCACTTGTCTCGCCTCGATCCGATGCCGAACTCCTCAAGCTTCTCCACAAATGTGAATTCTACTGTCTTATCAACTCAACTTCTTCTTCCTCCACAACTCATCTTTCTTATGAGTAATCTCAAGAAATTAGTTCCAAACTCCTTGACGCCCGATACCTATCCGATTTAGCGATCTCAAGTGGAGAAGATTTTTACGGCAAATGGTTTCAAAGGGTTCTTGGATGGTTCTTTGCCTTGTCCAACGGCATCCACTGAATCTCGTGATCTTTGGATTCTCACTGATCAAAACCTAGCTGCTGCACTATACTCGATAATTTCTCCATCTATCCTACCATACGTGCTCTCTCTAAACCATTGTCACGATATCTAGCAAACGCTTGCGAATCGGCTGCAATCAAGAACCCGATCGCGTGTTATTCAGCTAAAAAACGATCTACATCATCTAACCAAAGGTGATAAAACGATGACTGCTTATCTTCTTGAAATCAAATCCAAGGTCGATTCTATCGCCGCAGCTGGGTGCCATATCGATCCAGAAGATGTGATCCTTTGTACTCTAAATGGACTTCCCGCAACGTATCAAGCTTTTAAAACTGCAATCCGAACAAATCTCCAACCCCTCAGTTTGGATGACTTGTACAGTTTGCTTTGCACAGAAGAACAAAATCTTCTTCAAGAAGCTGCAAATGATCTTCAGCAACTTCATCTATCCAATAATACCACGGCTTTACTTGCTTCCCGTGGACGTGGTCGTGCAAGATCCAACACATACTGTGGCAAACGAGGCCGCGGATCGAATACGACCAACAACCGTGGTGATAGATCTACAAGAACCATCACCTATCAAATTTGCTCGAAAAATGGCCATTCGGCCATTCGTTGCTGGTATAGAATAGACTTTAGCTATAATGACGACACATCCAAGACTGCGTTATTTACCATACCAGAAGACTCACGTTCCTCGAGCTGGGTTCTTGATAGCGGAGCGTCCGCCCACCTGACGGCAGATTCTTCTCAAATAACCTCAACCGAACCATATAAAGGTACTTCTCAAGTTACTCTTGGAAATGGTCATCAAATCCCTATCCATCAAACAGGGAAAGGTATATTACCTACTCATACAGGTAATCTTGTATTACATAATATACACCTTGTTCCAAATTTATCTTTTAATTTGTTATCTATTAATAAATTGATTCAAGATAACAATTGCATTATTCTTTTTGATACTAACGGTTATCAAATTAAGGATTCGAAGACCAATCAGCTTCTTCTTCACGGTCCATGCCATAATGGCATATCTCCTATTCGGTCCTCCATACAACCGGCAAATCTTGCTCTGCTCTCTGTTCAGACGATTCCTGATCTCTGGTATAGAAGACTTGGACATCCAGCTCTATCCACGCTACAAAAACTGTCTCGTTTACATTCTTGCATCTACACTACTTCTTCTAGCAAACATTGTAATTCCTGTCATTTAGCTAAAAGCAAACAATTACCATTTCACGCTTCTGTCTCGCACACTAGTAAACCTTTTCAATTAGTTCATTCTGATGTGTGGGGGCCTTCCCCGACTACGTCTGTTCAAGGTTACCGTTACTTTGTGTCTTTTATAGATGATTACACAAAATATTGTTGGGTTTTTCCGATTTTTCAGAAATCTGCTGTTACTTCTGTTTTTATTAATTTCCATAAAATGATTGCTTGTCAATTTGATTCCCGGTTATGTATCATTCGAACGGATGGCGGCGGTGAGTACTTAAACAATAATTTTAAAGTCTACCACACCAAATGGGGCATCAAGCATGAGTATTCTTGCCCATATACCTCGGCTCAAAATGGTGTAGCCGAGCGGAAAAATCGTCATCTATTGGAAATGGTTCGTAGTTTATTCACTCATTCAAACGTACCTCCATCTATGTGGGTTGATGCCATACACACGTCTGTTTATTTAATAAATCGCTTGCCCACTGTAACCTTAAACCACAACACTCCTTATGAAAATTTATTTGGCAAATTACCTGAATACAAGCATTTAAAAGTTTTTGGTTGTTTATGTTATCCATGGCTACGTCCTTACGCTAAATCTAAACTATCCTCTGTTTCTATACCATGTGTGTTCATTGGTTATGCTACTAACCAAAAAAGTTACCGGTGTTTGGATCCTAAAACTCAACGAGTTTACACTTCACGGCATGTTCTGTTTAATGAGAACAGTTTTCCTTTCCAAGAACACTCACGTAAGTCCTCCACTACTGATACCAACTCAGGTATGTATCTGCCACCTCTATTATTGGTTCCTACACATTCCATTACAATCAGTTCTCCTTGTGCCTCTCCATCTGTTTCTCCCTCATCGAATCCCCAGTCTACTACCTCCATTACACCTGTGAGTTCTCCGACTGCTGTTCCAAATACTGCCAGATCCAGACAAATCACGCACCCGATGCAAACCAGGTTTCAAACTAGAACTCTGAGGCCAAAGAAAGTTTTTGATCTAACTCATCAAATCACTGAGGCTGATCCAACCTCGTATAGTCAAGCAATCAAAAAGGAACATTGGCGTCAAGCAATGTCCACAGAATTTCAAGCGCTTCAAGCTCAAGGTACTTGGGAATTAATTCCCCCTGATCCAAATTTTAATGTATTAGGATGTAAATGGATTTTTCGCACAAAAAACAAATTCAAATGGTACAATTGCTAGATATAAAGCTAGATTAGTTGCTCTCGGTTACAATCAAGAATTTGGTATAGATTATACGGACACATTTAGTCCAGTAGCTAAAATTCCTACACTTCGAATTCTTCTTACTATTGTGTTACACCTAAATTGGCCCTTACACCAATTAGATATCTCTAATGCTTTTTTACATGGTTCTCTCACTGATGTGGTTTACATGAAGCAGCCTCCCGGATTTATTGATAAAGATAATCCAACTTATATTTGCAAATTGAACAAAGCCTTGTATGGTTTAAAACAGGCTCCTCGGAAATGGTTTGAAACCTTCACAAGTTTCTTACATCAGTTCGGTTTTAAAACCAGTAATTCGGATCCTTCCTTATTGATATATTCTAAAAATAATTCACTAATGTACATTTTAGTGTATGTAGATGATATCATCTTAACAGCGAACACTCCATCAAAACTTGCCGATCTTTTGGACAGCCTACATAAACGATTTAACATGCGAAATTTGGGATCTCTTCATCAGTTCTTAGGCATAATTGCTGAGAAAACTGATACGGGTTTACTGCTCCATCAATCAAAGTATGCAAAATCCATTTTGGCTCGGGCTGGCATGACAAACTGTAAACCTTTGGCAACCCCTTCCAACCCCAAAAACAATGCTCTGACTGAATCACCGTGGTTTTCAAACCCGACATTATACCGTCAATTAGTAGGAGCTTTGCAATACCTGACACTAACTAGATCTGACATTGCATATGCTATAAACCGAGCAAGTCAGGCTATGCATAAACCGACTGAACTGCAATTTGCTGCCCTTAAACGCATTCTCAGACACATTCGTGGAACGATTCATTATGGTCTTTCGATTACAGGTAATTCTCTAACTTTAACTTCTTATTCTGATTCTGACTGGGCAGGAGATCAATAGGATCGGAAGTCGACAACTGGCTACTGCAATTTTCTTGGCAACTCACTTGTTTCTTGGAGTGTAAAGAAGCAATCTACCATCAGGTTATCACTATTTATCACTTTAGGTATTTCAAGTGCATCTATTTATTACTTCAAGCATAGTTATTTTTAGTAAAATTCCAGAATAACAAATTTCTTATATTTGTCATCTTGTTGCTCAAGCTCGTCATCATCATTAGCCTTATCTCAATTATTTGGGTTATCTTTATCAATCCTTTTTTTATCATTCTTTACTGAGTGCCACAAAAAATTTTGAACTTTTTCTATGCAAATCTTTTTTAACAGATTCTATCCATGTTACCTTAGATTTCATATTTTTCCTTTCCAATCCTTTAACTCTAATGTTATATGCTTATTTATTGGTGTATTTCTACGTATGTTATGCATGTTCGAACCATCTAAGTCATATTTTTAACATTTTATCTTCAATAAATGTTACACCCACTATCCCTCTAATATAATAAGTCTAGATAAATTTATTGTGCCAAGTATTTCACTTACGCCACATAGTTGTCTTAATTTTTTTTTTTTTTGTGCAGCTTAACTTAGCTATCACTGATTTCCTTTACATCACAACACTCAAATCCATCTAATGTTTTATGTCTCGATGATATTCTTTAATCACATAGTACATTTGAGGCAACTCTCTATTATAACCACACAACATTAACAATGGAAATTCAATCATCATCTATATTCTCTATTTTTTCAATAATAAATCCATGAACTTAAACTTATATCACTATATCTTCTAAGAACAGTGATTGATAATTGTAATATTACACTTACTAAAATTATATCTCATATAATTAATCTTTGTTCTGCTAATCTCAAGTGCTTATATTCTAAATTTTTTTTTATTGTCCTAAATCTATTAACTTTCATATAATATAGATCAAGAAATGTTATCTCATCATTAACCGTTAAAAAAAAGAAGAAAAACTTAAAACACTCCATTATCTTAGACCTAACCAGATTAAACTATCCTGAATTTTCTTTTTCTTTTTCTGAAATCTTTGCCATGCTAAGTAGAGTAAACTGACTTCTTGGAATGTTGGCTTTCCTGTATAGCAAAGGAGAGTGTATTTCTCAAATCATGAGAGAGTTTAAGAAAAGCAATTCTAACAAGTCCACGGATAAACTTGGAGTATATATGTTATAACAAATGGTCATTCACCAACAATTATGGTTTGAAACAAAGTCCTACATGGGATCCTTGTGGGTACCCATGCTCTGCGCGGGTAGGCTTCTCCCACCCATAGTGACTTTCGAGATGCTAGACCCACCCACTTTTCATGATTTTTGAACGCAATCCACCACGAATTAATGGCCCTGAGGCTTGTTTCCCTTTGCTCCAACTGTAAACTTTCAAGCTGCAAATCAGAATTTACCATGATTGCGGCGTGGTTCGGTGATGCGCACAGCGTAGTGAGGATTGCGGTAATATATGACATACGGTGGTTAGCAATGTAAATCAGTTTATCTCCGATGTTGAGTACTCACCCATGAGGCCATAGGCATACCCATACCCTGTATGGGTGGGAAAGTACTGGGTGGGTGTGGGTATGGGTACCCTATGCAGGGCTCTGGTTTGAAATGATAATTGAGGAATGCATTTTCAAGTTTGGAGTGCGCTTTACCAATTTGACAAGGCATTACATCTTATTGCTTCTAGTTCTATAGGCCTCATGGACACTGAATTAGCTTCCTTACCGAATGACTTGAAGAAACCAAGCCAACAATTTTTTTTTGCTACAAAGGCATTCAACAAAAGAGATGAGAACCAAGATAACTTACAAGAATTCAATTGCCTAATCGCAAATTAGGTGCATAATCTCATGTCACTTTGAGATTCGAATTCTCCCAATAACCTTACTAAAATGGAGTTTAATCCAATCGCTGTAACTTTAAAGATTCCAAATCTTCAAGAAGAAAATCAAAACCCAGGCAGTCAAACTCATAATGTCAGGCTGAAAAAAAAAAACGGTAGCCACAAATCCTCTTGCAAAAACGCACCTTTTGGAGCGCCTGTGACGCGTCGAACAAGCAGAAGACATTTTATAACCAGAGAACACACTTTCCCGGCACACACCCTAAGCTTTACTTATCTTCTCCTCCTCTAAGCACAGCCAAAGGCAGAAGAAGAAGCGTCAACGAAATAAGCCATCAAAATCATAACAATCATGATTGAAATACTTCCAATAGAATTATGGTACCGACCCCTATTAGATGAAGAGCACCGGGAGATCTCGTTACGAGAGCATTGAGAGTGGAACTTAATGCGAAGACAGCAAACGAATCAAAGGTTTGAGGGTCGTCGGAGGCGCAGCTCGTTGGCGTGAGGAGTGAATGCGGTGGGGACCTATGGTTGGTCGGGAATTCAATAAGGGACTTTAATGCGACTGGCGACATCGAAACCCCTCCCCCCTTGTTTCTTCCCTCCATCTCTCGTGCTCGTTCTGCGATTCCGCCTCGGAGAGAGAAAGAGGAGAAAGATTCTGAGTTAAAAGGGTCAGAAGAAAGAAGGATGTGCTTTATATATATATATATATATATATATATATATATTTAATATAATATAGATAGAGAGGTTAACACTACAATGCTGCTCCAAAGGAGCTTTCTATACTTCACATTTCTAATAATTCTAACTCACTAAGGACTCTATGAACTTCATTAATCATAGTATAACTTAAATTTTCAAACATTTAGCATATTACAAAGACAAATATATAAATTGTATCAAATTTAGTTCGAGTGAATTCGATTATGTAGCAACAGATTTTATAAACATCTTCCGTAAATGTTATGTGTAATTCCTTAGAGGCGGCATGTAGATTATCATGTATATGATTAAATGTTAAATTATTGTAATTTGATTTACTTAAAAGTGACCTACCAAGATTTTTTTTTTCATAAGCATTATATTTATCATGATGATTTTTTCTTAAACTTTTCACCGATTAAAAAGAAAGATCTAGCTCCTCTCATGTAAAATATACCTTTGAGTTTCAAATTTATGCATTTAGTTATTGATACATCATAAAAAATTTTTTTGATCGGACACGAATCTCAAGACATATTTAAGTCGGAAACTTTCAAAATTAAATACAATATCATCTGATGTCCGATTTCAACAAACTTAATGTCAAAACTAAACTTCTCAAAAAGGTGCACCCAACGGCACCAAAATCGGTTTAAATTCGAGCCGCAATGGGTCCAAATCGAGGGCCCGAAGCTTATTTGAAAGGTTCAAAGCCTAAATAGGATGACCAAATGATATCCAAATATAACATGTTTATGGTTGAATCGAGCAGCTTGGTGAAATGAATCTGATGAGCCCAGGGTCGTTAAATTCTGACATCATTAAGGCACTTAAAAACTTGAAAAATATTGAATTCCGACAATATTAAGACACTTAAATTTATCCATCCTATAATACTCTGTGTTTTTATGACACTAGAAAGTCAAACATTAAAGGTGCTATCAACAAAAAATGAGGTTGTAATACATAGAAATCCAGTCCAACTAAATAAACTAGGCATATGAAGCTCAATATAGTGGTCAATTACAATAAGGATGCTTAGAAAAATTCCAATTAAATGCCTTTGAGGTCTACCTAAGACCAATAACTAATGCTTCAATACCTATTTCTATAAGTAATACCATTCTTATTAAATAAGATGACCAAAAGAAAAGCAACAACCAAAGCAACATTAGCATAAAGCCTCTATCATATTATGTGGGGTTGGCTGCATTAATATTTTTTCTTTATTGTGCATGATTAATAATTAAATTCTCAGTATCTAATCAAATCTTTTTAAGTCTATCTCTATCTTTATTAACATAGGTTGGATCAAATACATCCTCTCATAACTGGATCATCAGAAGTATGACGTTTCATATGAGCAAACCATCTAATGTGAGTCCCTCAAATCTAATATACCATTATAACCACTCCAACCTTTTCAATTATATACTTGTTACATCTTGGAATATTTGCGCTGGTAGAGAAATATAAAATTTAACTTGTTAACTTTGTACTAAGATCCAGCACACAATTAAATAAAAGAGAGGGTGTATCATTCATAGAGACACCAAGATTTTTACATGGAAAATCCTGAATAGAGGAAAAATCATGGGGTCATGCTCAGTTTGAATGAATCCGCTAATATTTGTAGTTGATTATAAATGAGTCCCTTCCTTGTGGGGAAGGCCTTGGCTTGACGTCACAAATATACATCATATGGAGTGCATTGCATGGTGGGAATATGAAGAATCACTATTGACGTATTCATTTGGTCGGAAGGACAATAATCAACGGACGACGAAGGTCGAAAAGATTGTTGTCTAGCTACGGAAGTTAGAATGACCAGAGTAGGAGAAAGATGTCGGAAGGACCGTAGTCATAGAAGGTTAGAATGATCATGGTCAGTGAGCAACGAAGGTCGGAAAGACCTTTGTCAGGTGGAAGTCCAACAATAGTCGGAAGCCGGGTGGAAGTCTGACATTAGTTAGTGGCCCAGCGGATGTCTGGCATCCTTTGGCGGCCAGGCATAAATCCAATGTCAGTTGTGGCCAGGAAGAAATTCGGCGTCAGTCGGTGGCCGTGCAGAATTTCGGAATTAGGTGCTGGCCGGGCAGAATTCTTATGTCAGTTAGAAGTTTAACAGAAGTTCGATGACGAGCAAAAGTCCTGCGACGGGCAGAAATCTGACGTCAGATAGAAGTATGTTGAAAGCCCGACGATGGGCAAAAGTCTGACGACAGGCGAAAATCTGATGTCGGGTAGAAATCCAACGATGGGCAGCAATCCAACATAGGGTAGAAAGTTCGGTGAAAGTCTGACTACTGGAGGAAGACCTGCAACGGGCGAAAGTCTGACGTCAATCGGTGACAAGGAGGCGGTCGCTGAGGAGCTTGGTGGCTAATATATATCTCTTCCTCTACACTCTTCTTTCCCTTCTTGTTTCGGGGGCCTCCTTCACTACGGGAAAACACGTGAATACCGGCGGAGTTTCCGGCGGATTTTTTTCGACGGTAATAAACGGCGTACTCACCAACGGATTTGTTCGACGTAAGGCTTGCGTCAACATTACCGGCGGAACATACGTCTGCAATTCACCGACGCCGTGTCCGCTGGAAAACCCGACGGTATAGGGATGCCTGAACCATTTCCGTCGCATGTTACGGCGGAACTATTCCGGCTTATGGTTCTGGCGGATAGTACGCCGCCTTATTTAAACTCAACGAAAAAAAAAAACGGAGAGTATATGTCAGAAATTATACCGACGGCAATATTAAAATTACAGGCGGATCCTCCGCCGGTAGAAGCCCTATTTCGCGAACCCGAACCCCTCTGGCCGTCATTCTTTTCCTTTCTTTCTCTCACTTCCATTGCTTCGCTCGTCGCCCTCCGTCGCCGTTCGTCGCTCGCCGTGGTTAGACGTCATCGACGGTCACCGGACATCGCCGTCGACGATCACCGGACTTCGCTGAGCCTCCTTCCTAGTCGCTCGTCCCGCCCTCTGTGCTTCCTAGTCGCGCGCCGCCGAGGAACCGAAGGTATATGTTTTCAAATTTTTTTGAGATCGATTTCGGTTGGATTACATATAGATTAGCCTTTAGTCCATATATTTTTGCTATAGTATGCAATCACTTTATGCAATCACTTTAGTTTAGGAGTGACTCTTAATATTCTTGAGTCAGCATGATCAAGTTAGCATGATAGACTTGTGGCTTTTAATATTCTTGAGTCAGCATGATCAAGTTAGTTCCTAGTATGCAATCACTTTATCCTATAGCTCTTAGTGGAGAGGGGAGTGCTACTTCTAAGTCATTATTAGATCACCTGTTCATATATTTTACATTATGTAATTGATAAATGTAAAAATATTCTATTCAATAATATTTTTTGAACATTTACATTTCGACGAGTTATATATTATCTTTACTCGACTTTTTTTTCTTGTGTACCTTCTTGAAGTGGCTATGCAATTTTCTTTATACATTAAATTCTTTGCATCTAATCTATTATTGTTATTGAAGACTAGCATATGTCCCTAGTTTAGGAGTGACTCTTTGATAGTTTGCTTTGATAGACTTGTTTTAGGCTAGTTAAAGTGAGTTGAAGTTAATTTTTTAGATCTAGTTGATGGCACTCTATGCTTCATTAGTTAAGAACAAATTATAGATTTTCCAAGTGAGTGTGACCACTTGTTCTTTTCATGAGGAGAGCTCTACAAAGAGTGAGTGAAAGGAAGGATAGCGAACATTTTCATTATGATGAGACATGAGTTAGTTCCATTATGATGAAGACATGGTCACCAACCCTCTTATAGATACCCCCATGCTATGTTTTGTGGGGCACTATTTATTTATTCTTTGTTTGTATACTCTATAAGTTTTTAAGTTTATGTATAATACCTATATTTAAATTTTTAATACCTATATTTAAGTTTTTAAGGTTATGTATGTAGAAGTTTTTACTTGTGTTCAAATGCAAATGAATCGAGCCCAGCCGAGTTTGTGAGTGTTCATCTTGGATATACTAATTAGATATATATATAAATTCATTAATTTTTTACTCTTATATATAGGTTATGGATATTAGAAATCAAAGAAGTTGGATGTATAACCGATTATCTCAAGGTCGGAAGACATTAACAGATGAATTCATCAATGGGGTGAACTTTTTCATTCAGCAAGCGAAACAGCTGCCCAGCTTTATATCAGAAGGAAAGTTTCGATGTCCATGTTCTAAACACAAAAATCTAGTGCACCTAGAACCAGATGATGTAACTGTTAATCTGTATCGCAGAGGATTCATGCACGGTATTGGTATTGGACTATTCATGGTGAGTATGAGCCACTATTTGATTATCAATGCGGTCCTTCTACAAGTAGTAATGTTGCTGAGGCTGAAAACATCCGTCCAAATCTTGAGGAAGTATGAGCCACTATTTGATTATTAACGGGTTTTCCTGTAGTGCTTCTCCCTTCCCTCAAAGAAAAATGAGGGATCTATTCATAATTTTATGAGAGTGGCGTGTCCAGTAAATAAGATGAAGATCAAGGATAATTTGGCAGTTGTTTGAATGGACAACTCATGTAGATTCTCTCGATTATGAACCGTTTATTTTGTATTTGAATGTCTTAATGATATCAGAATTTGATGATCTTGGGCTTGTTGGATTCGTCTCGTCGAGCCGCTCGATTAGACTATAAGCATGTCACATTTGAAAATTGTTTGATAATCCAAATTATGAATTGAACTTTCCAAATGCGCTTTAGGTCTTTGATTTGGAACCATTTAGGCTCGAATTGAGTTGAATTTAGTGTCGTTGGGTTCGTATTTTCAATACATTCAGTTCAATTGTAAGTTTATTGAAATCAGAGTTCATATGATATCTAATTTAATTTTTTAAGTTCCAACTTGATTTCCACTCGAGATTCGTGGCTGATCAACATAAATTTTTGATGATATACCAATACTCTTTTGGATCCAATCTTTAAACCAAAAGAAAAGCCGACATATTTAAATAATGTGATATCAATATATCATGATAAAATATGATTTTAAAATGTCTTTATTGAATTATTCTCTCTCTCTCTCTAACTTTTGAGCTAATTAGCTTCTCTATATTATTATTTTTGATAATTCCTATATAAAAAAAGAGACTCAAAATATTTTTAAACTTATACATTTTCCTTAGAGGTAGCCCAAAGATGACTCAAATACAATCTTCCTACTAACTCCCAACTAGAATTGGCCCTATCCAAAACCTCGATAACAAATCAAAGCTTGCTTAGTTTGCACAAAGCATTAAGCAAATACAACCAAAAACGAAATACATGTTGAGATTTGAGATCATTACCCATCAGACACGAAAACCGAACCCAACCCAATTACACGAAACGACTGGCTTAAGACCCATGATTCACACGTTTATTTATAACCCAAAAAAAAAAAAAAAGTTATAGCTTATAGCTACACATCCTCTAGGACACGTCATCACGTTAAGGATAATCCTGTGCCGCCACAATCTGGTAATTTGCAATGAAGATGTCACCGTAGATGAGCCCTGCGAGCCCACCGCCGATAAGCGGGCCGACCCAATAAACCCAATGTCCCGAAAAGTCCCCTGCGGCAACGGCCGGGCCGAATGAGCGGGCCGGGTTCATCGACCCCCCGCTGAACGGGCCGGCGGCGAGGATGTTAGCTCCGACGATGAAGCCAATGGCGATGGGAGCGATGGTGCCGAGCGAGCCTTTCTTGGGATCGGCGGCGGTTGCGTAGACAGTGTAGACGAGGCCGAAGGTTATTATGATCTCCATTATGAAACCTTCGAGTTCAGTCATGCCGGCGGCGACGCTGTGGGTGGGGATGGATTTTCCGGCGGTGACGAATTTGAGGAGGAGACAGGCGATGGTGGCGCCGAGGAGTTGGGATATCCAGTAGAAGATGCCGGAGAGGATGGTAATGTTACCGCCGATGGCAAGGCCGAAGGTTACGGCGGGGTTGAGGTGGCCGCCGGAGATGTTTGCAGCCATGGAGACACCGGCGAAGAGAGCGAGTGCGTGGGCTAAGGCTACGGAGGCGAGGCCCGCGGCGTCTAAGGGCGCGTCGGACGACAGCTTGTCTGTGGTGAGGAGCAGTTAATTCATAAGTTGCCAGTAAAAAAACCAAATAAATTAGAGAAATTTACAATATATTATAAAATTGTTACGTATTTTTTATATATAAAATTTATTTATATATCACCTTAAACATTTAAAATCTTTAATAAGTGGAAATGAAAATTGAATAATAAAAATTTAATTTTCTTTAATGAGGTAAAAGCAACGGTAACCGCAATGATAAGAACAATTTAAGGGAACAATTTATTAACGAATTTAATCACAGTTTAATAATAACAATTAACACAGAGAGCTCTCACTGTAAGCGATGGCAGAGCCAACTCCAGCGAACACAAAGAGGAGGGTGGCGATAAACTCGGCAAGGTAAGCTTTAACTGAGTTTATGCTGAAGGAATCACCGAAGCTTCCGAAAGCTAACTTCACCATTTTCGTGGAGAAGGAAGAAGAAAAGTGAAGAAGAAGAAGAAGAAGAAGAGAATATTTCAAAGTCTCTCCTCTTAATATTTGCCTGGCTTCGTCTCTCTTTGTTCTCCGTTATGATGATCAGCTCCTTTAGATGGTTTAAATAGGCATAGTGGTGGAAGTGAGTACAGTTCGAGTCGATCTGTTTCAACTTTAAGTGAAATGGAGAGTATTTCGGTAGTTAGTACAGTTTGAAAATTTTATTTCATTGCTATTTTTTATAACTTTTTTAAAAAATTATGATGAAAAAAATATTTTTTTACAATTATAATAGTCAAATTACTTTCTATATTTTGATTTCACAATCAATTTTATTAAACGATGTAGATGTCCGAAAATATACCTTAATATTAACTATTTCAATATTTAAACAATTTGAGATTTAGGATTTATTTGAGACGACTGTAGCGTTTTATAAAGTTGGTTTTGTCGTTACTGTGATAGGACGACTATAGTAACAATAACAACAACATCAAGATTTTGTTCCACTACGTGGAGTCGTATACATGAATTTTTTTCTTCATTGTGTTATGTTAAAATTCAAATTATCATTTAAATCTAAAAAGAAAGATCATTTTTAATATTTTCTAATAATCTTTATATGTCTATCTCTATATTTCTTAACATAAGTCAAATCTAATATCTCTACTTTCCTAATCGAGTCATCGGAGCGCTAGCACTTCATAAAATTTGATTTCGAAATTATTATAAGGAAATGAACTTCTACTTTGATTACAAAAAGTAATTTCTATTATAAAAGTTTTTAAAAAATATGAAAAAATAATAAATAATAATAATAATAATCAAAAGAAATTTTAATCATTGTATGAAAAAAAAAATGAACAGAAAACTATTCCAAATAAATCTTTATTATTATAATTTATTTTTTAAAATATTTAAGTCAATTAAGATAAAAACACTCATATATTTGCATGTTGTTAATCAAAACTTTCAACTAATAAAAATTAAGGAGAGGTACATATTATTATTATTATTATCAAAATTATGATTAAAATATATATATATTTTTTATTTTTTTTAGTCTGATTTTTCGGCTTAAAGTACTGCTTTTAGCCACCCCAAGCTTTGAAAATCGCGCTAAGTGGAATCACTGGGTTTCTGGCCTGGCCCACTGTTTGGGCCAAACAGCTAAGAGTGGAATTTTATTTGCGGGAAACGTGGTTAGAATAATGTGGGCGGTGATGGGTGACCGTAAGCTGACAAAAACAAAGAGGCTTATCGGTCTTGAACTCTGAAGCTTATTGGTGGCCGACCAACCGCCCTTTGTTTAGTACATATTAAGTAATATTCCCTAATTATTCCTCCATAAAATAAAATAAGTTAATCATAAAATTTTATCTATTTATATATTATTTTAATATTTTATTTCAAATAAATTAAAAATAATGAGTATCGCATTTCTGACATACAAATAAACATTACTTGGAGAAGCACAAAAATAAAGAAAGAGCCCGTTGCATAGGAGAAATTATTATGTGTGATTATCAGACAGTCCAGAGACGAATCAGGATATGCCATGTCAACCGGTACTAAGCACCGGTGATGATTCTTCCATTGATGATTTCGTGACCGCATCTAATATTTTTTCTGTTGTATATTTGACCTTATGAGGAAATTATGCAGCACTGCACTTTAACTTGGGAGGCTGATTGAACTGCTGGCTTCTTTTGAACAAAAGGTTTGGTTTCGAGACTGCTCTTTTATTATTTTTTAAAACATTTTTTAATATAAACTTTTCTTTTTCAAAAAATTTTTTAATTAAAAAATTGCTTTATAAAAGCAATACGAAAGCTATGTCAAAGGAAGGAACTTTTATTTGGTCTGGTGAAAGGACGTAGAGCTACGTTCGGCTGACACTAAATCGCGCCACGTAGCAGGCACAAAACCACGTATTTGTCGATTTTGCTCGGCAATAACGAGAAATATCAATATGTGAAGACAAATTCCAAGCAATACCGAGTGATACCGAGCAACACCGAGCAATACCGAGCTTTTTCTAGAAAAACTCGATATTACTCGGTATTGCTCGGTATTACTCGGTATTGGTCTTCACAAAGTGGTATTTTTCATTATTACCAAGCAATACCGAGCAAATACCGGGTAACTCAGTGGTGACCGAACGTAAAGCTACGTCCGATCACCGGACCTAATAATTGTTCCAAAGGAAGCCTTAGTTTCAGAAGGATTCAGAATATAAACAATCTCGCGATGAAAAGTGAACAGTGTGGTGCTGAATGGTGATTAGTTAGGATTGATAAGAGTAATTAAAATATATTGTTGATAAAGTGATTGTTGAATAGCTGGAATGCTTGCTGGGAAGATGATTGCAGAAACTATGAAAGCAAAGAGAGGGAAGAAATATAAACTTTACACAGGTATGTCTGCATGTGCTGATAACTATACACAACATTTCTGCTTAAGGTGGCTTGAACTGAACAATATGAAATTTGATTTTGAATATTTTGGATTTTCAGACTAATTTTCTAGTAGTTCCAAAAAAATTAGAAAAATTCATCAAAAATTAAAGTTTGCATTTCTATTTTTTTTTTATAGTTGAAAGAGCCTATCAACGATGATTATCTTCTTATTTATTTATTTTAAAAAAAAATTAATTAAGCACATTTTTAGCATTTTTTAAATATTTAAAATTATTTTAAAAATACATAAAATACCTCAAATTTATTTCAGTTGTTTTAACAAATAATTATCATCGTGGGCCACGAACCATTATTGTTATGACTACTATCACCATCATCATCTCACTAGTAGACCTTGATAGTCACTTGCTATTATCGCTGCCTTGTTGATAATTACCACCATCACCACAAAAAGTAACTTATTTGGTATTTAATAAAAATAATATATTTTTTTAAATATCAAATATATTTTATTTCATATCAAAATATTAAGAATATAAAATAATAACAGAGTTCACAAATTAAGAGTTTTAATTTTAAAAAAAATAGGTAATTAACCAATCTATGATAAAATGTGGTAATTCAGCTAGCATACTAGTCTCTCATCAAATCAGAAAAAAAATATCAAATATTTAAGTAATTTTTAGGAATTATATGATATTTTTATAACTAACTCCAAGAGGTTAAATTATAAACAAATCTAATAAATAAAAAGAAATATTTGAAGATTCAAGTCGCTTATATATCCAATGGCCCTAGGATGATTAAATCAAGTCATTAAAAATGATATTAAGATAAATATGGATTTGTGAATATTCAAAATGAATATTTTGAGATTAAAAAAATAATTATCAAAATAACCACAAGTCTAATGTATATGAAATTTAGATTAAATGATCATGCATATGTTAGAATAAACATTAGATAATTTTCAAAATTTTTAAAATTATTTAATATTTTTAATAATTAATGCAAATGTTATACATTAAAAAATTATCAAATAAATTTGGAAGTTTTTCAAATAACTCAAAATGTTGTTTAATTAAAATTAAAATTCAGGTAGGGAAAACAAGTACAAGCAATACCATTCATTTTCAAATTAATTGCAATTTTTTAAATTCAAAAAATAGGATTCATGGGTGAAACTTTTTAAAAAAGAATGTTTTAATTGAAAATTTCTACAAATGCATCAGATATTTGAAAAGGATTATCTCCAAAAAGCCAAAACTAAATGATTATGAAATCATTGAACTTATTGAAGAATATAGCACTATTTTACAAAGAGAGCAACTATATTAGCTTAAGGAACTTAGTTATTTTAACATTACTTGTAACTTAGAGCAAGCATAAATCTTATCCTGTCTCAATCTATAAGAAGTTGAATCTAAAGTTCCATTGTAATTATGGTTTTATTTGGGACAACTTTCTTACTGTTTTCTAAAATAATTTTCTAATTAAAATTTATCAAGTTCAAAAAAAATTTATACTAAAAAGCTGCTTTATAAAGTAGTAAGAAAACTATTCTAAGAGAAATCTACTAATAGCTCAATTAAATATCCTACAAGGAATGTAAAGGATGTATTGATGAAAGCTAGAGAGTTCATTTTTTAACTGATTTTATTGTTTTGATATGGAAGAAGGAGATCTAAATTACTCCATAATTATTGGTAGGCCACTTTGAACAACTAGGAGAACAAATATTAATTTCTAATGGGATAGTTGCCCCTTAGAGCTCAACAAGGGGAAGTTATATTCAAAGTGTATGATGCTATTGAAATTTGTATTTGAAGGAGAGTTGCTTTTTTATTGATACATGCCATTTTGAACACCTAGCGAGCCATCAAACATATTTAATGGGTTATGCATGATCCATCCTAAAAGTAAATATTATGTCGTTGAAGAAGTTTCTGAAGCATCAAAAGAATAAGATTTTACTTAAGGGATTGTTTGATTTGCTAAAAAATAATTAAGAGCAAAATGAATTCATTCTAAAATAGTATTTGGTTCTTTGGTTTGATGATACATGAATGAAGTGTAAAATTTCAGTGATTTTTTTTACTTCCTAGCTAGTTCATTTTTTTTATGCATTATAAATTCGCATAATTTTAGTTGAATTTTTTTTTCACCACAAGCCAAATCCCTTGTCATCACTTACCGTCGCCACCCACCTGCTTGCCGTTGCCAACAACCACCACCATTATTTTACTTTATATTACATTCATTTTACATTAAGCAAAAAAAAAAAAGGAATCTCATGCATTCCTTTTACATTCATCCAAACGACTTCAAATTATTCAAATGCACGACATTCTTTTTACACTACATTTCTTTTACTCTTTATTTCTTATTCAACAAACCAAACAACTCCTTAATAAAATGTAGACTACAAAGGGCTTCGTTTGGATAATGAGTCTAAACTAATCATTTTTTAGGAGGCAACCCAAAATCTTCTAAATTTCCATTTAGTTTGTTTATTTATTTAGCATATTATTTTTTATCATTTATTTTATTATGAATCGGTAAGAAGATGAAAATTTTTAATGGCAACCCACAACATTAGAGCCATAGTACTACTTTTTGTTCCATCTTAATTTTTTACTAGGCATAACTCCCATGATGCACCAAGCAATCAAAATTCAATAAATATGAAG